TCTATTCACATAAAGCAAAAGAAAAATGTTGGTTTCGGTTTCGGAAACCGTAAATATTTAGAAGTAAATTAGGTCGTGAAGTTGTCAAACTTTTTATTTAAAAACCAATGCATTTTATGAATAAATGTATATGTTTCTAAATCTATACAACACACTCTTAATTTTATAATATATTTATCATATAGTAATAATTTGGTGCACGTTATAACCTCTTTAAATCTTTATCAGAAGCTTGTTATCGTGGTACGTGATGAGTAAAAAACTTGTGTAAACTCTTCAGAGACATTGGCGTTTGACGCTTTGTCGCAATTAACTCGAACGTATTACATTCACTCCTACTAACAATCAACTTAAAAAATAAACTTTTATGATTTTACGTCACATGATAAAATTTATTAATTATTTATATTTCTTCAACATAAAGATTACTATATCGTAATTTTATTAGAATATCTTTGAAAGGACTTTGACGTTTTTAGCTGCCTTTTAATATTGGCAGCATTCAATAATCGATATAATTCTTTAATCTATAAAACGCCCTCTTCAATTATTTTTTCATTACAATTCCTTTAAATATTTTTTCTCTTTCTCATAATATTATTATTTAAGAGAGAGAGAGAGAGAGAGAGAGAGAGACAGAGAGAAGAGAGAACGAGAACAAGACGTAACTTACTTATATTTTTTCGACTTTCAATTAATCGAGTTATTTTACAAAATTCGTATTTTGAAAATATTATACTTCCTTTTTGTGAGATTAATTAAGTTGAAATTTTTATAAAATAGGCAATAATAATACACATTCACTTAGAATTATATGGATTCAAATTTTCATGCATTTACATTACATTTAATGTTGACATAATAAAAATGACTTAATAATATTTTAATTCATTATGCTTCTAATTTCAAATATATGAATTATATTGTTAATAGTCGTGTGGCCGTGAACGTTTATTTTTTAAAGACGCAAGGTAACTTGTCAATTTTAGTATTTTTGTGCGTGTTGGTAGTTATTAGTCTTCTTTTTTTTTGTCGAACCTTCATATAATTCCCATCTGTTTTGAAATTTAAAAAAAAAATCAGTCATAATTATGTAATTTTTTTAATTGCTCTTCATAAATCACCGATTTTTCATTTAAGAACTTATAGAATAATTTATATTTTATTCTAAAATAAGTTGTTTAACTTTTCATTATATTATATTGATATTATATTTACGTAATTCGTATCTAATTTGCGAATGCAAAAATTATAATCATTCGTATCCAAGCATTACAGTTCATTATTTAAGATTCATCGATTTATTAAGAAAATCAGTCGATAATATATATATTTTTTAATATTTATAACATCTGTTAAATATATCAGTGAGTAACATTTTAATAGTTCATTAGAACGAATTCTTATGCGCAATACTATTATTATAATTATTTTTTTTTAATAACAGAGATTTCATTTGGCTGTGGAATCTACTAATACTAGTAAAATAGCTATTACTATTATGTATTATTTCAATTCACATATGAAATTTGTCTTTTTTAAACTAGAAATTTATATTTTAGTAAAATATTAAAATTCTTTTGAATAAAGTAATACAAACTTAATTTTCACATATAAATTTTATTTCATGAAATTTTATCTGAATTATATTCGTCTTTAGCGTGTATTATGTACATTCAATAATTATTAATTAAACCAATTGTCTAGTTTAAAATTACCAATAAAATCTTTAGTTAATTATAACGTTTTATTGTAGGGGTAAAGTATTGATTTTATAAAGTTTGAAATTTGAATCTTTATAAATCGAGTAAGAATTATAATAATTAGATGGTTGAATTGCCTGATTTAATAAATATTTAATAAAAATATTTTCATTAGTTTTGTATTTTGATTGTTTTCGTATAATATATTAAAAATCGACGAATTTAGCATTATTCTTCGTCATTTATTATATTATATTCTAAGATACAATGAAAAAATACAAAATACAATTATTCAATTTTTTATTCATTATAATAGATTTTTTCCTATATCGCCCGTAAAATATTATTGTTTAATTAGTTAAAAACAAAACAAAAAGAAAAACAAACAAAAAAAAAATACGTCCAATTGAAAGCCGTAAAATAATGATAACTAAGTTAAGTCATTATCAAGTATAAAAATCGTTTTTAAACGTAATTTTTATTACGATGATTATCGCCACATTTGCATTTCATAAAATTAGTTGTTTGGCCATATTTCTCTCTTTTTAAGTTGATCGCTTTCGATACATTTATTTGCCTTTTTAATCTTCATCATTGTATTATATGCAATAGTTAGTGATTGAAGGCGAGCTATGAAAAACTTTCATTACATTGAAATAATAATTTGTCTCAATTGATGAACACAGGGAAAAATCTCCCTTTAGAAAGTTAACAATGAACGTGGACAAATCGAGCATTCATGCATTTTCCTTCTATATGAAAGGTCTATCCACAATAGCAATGTTATTTAATGGATTTTTACACTGCCTTATTTATAGAAAACATTCAATAAAATTAAAAAGAAACAAAAGTAAGAAACGCCAAGTAATTCTCACGAGAGTGCAACTTACAGAATTCGTCATCCACTGACACACCCACAGCCTCAAATTTTTATAAGTAATGTAGTATTAATATCGATCAATCGTTCGTTTAATTAATATATATTTCGCTATATATTACTCACGTGAAATTTCGTCTTCGTATGATATATATATATATATATATATGTTAGGAAAAATGTTGTAAAGTATGAAAAGTGAGATGAAAAGATAAATAATACAAACTGTCTCCTTTGGGCAAGAGATTAAATTGAAGTAAATCATTTTTAAATGTTGTCATTACAAATAAAAATTGAATCACTTTTATTGGTAATGGAGGCACAAGAGCTAAAATTATCTATAATTAGGAAAAAAAAATGTACTCTAAAAATAAAATTACCAACAACAGCGACAAAGTTTTTATGCAAAAGAGGATATTATAATTAATGTTTATAACAAGTATCAAGCATGGAGATATTGAAAGAGAAATATTGATGAAATACTCGATTTAGAAAAATGCGATGTATTAGAAATTGGAACAAAATCAACTAAATAATTTCTGGAATGATTTCCCCTTTTAATGCTACATGCTTTAATTATTTTACGAGTTATAAGTAATTAACTATTTTATTATAACAAAATTATCATTTGGATGAAATATCATCCAACTTGTAAATAATACTTCAATTGAAAGATCATATATTGAATTGCTTATATTTATGATGAAAAACACTTCCCGATATGACAAATTGAAGTTGCAAATTTAATATGTAAAGAAAAAGACGGAAGATTTAATTGAAAAACAGCCACTACTATGTACATACAATACAACCAAATTAATGAGCGCAGGTAAATGAAAATCGGATCGTCAGTGTATCTGTAAAATAGATCTGTTTTTCTTTTTTTCTTGTTTTTTTTTTTGTTTATAAATTCATAAGTTTTTGTTTAGTCGTAAAGAGTACGCTGTGATTTCTCTAGCAAGAAAGTTTTTTAATATAGAAAATATGGCTGAAATGATATTAACCTTCCTAATGGGGGGAGGGGGGAGGGAGACGATCTGATAAAACGGCATAATGGAGAGTGGTGAAGAAAGGGAGAATGATGAACATATAGTTTTAACTGCTAATTGCACAGCCATCGCAATGTAAATGAAGGAATTGCAGATAAAAAAATAGTGAAATACGCATTCATAGGAAATTGAAGTGGAGATAAAAAGGAAAATTATCCTAAATTTCATCTAGTTGCCAATTCTGTGACGCGTGGCCATAGATTTATAATATTCTCTAAGTGAAGAATTTGGTGTAAGTCGTCGTCTCGAGTGGCACTAAAAATAAATGAAACGTATTTACGTCAAAGGCAAGAGTCGTCGTTCCTCCATTCTTGTTACTCAGCCCACTTTGCTTTATCCAAAACACTGTATTCGATAACGATACTTGAATACATTTCAGAAGAGTTTCTTATTCAACCTCTCGTTCCAATAACAACGAGATATTGACAAACGTTGCCTTGGAAATATCGATCTATATTATTACGAAAAATCTTCGATTAGACACTGTACTCATGCTTCAATTTATCCCGTACTCAACGATTAACGTACCATTCTGCTTGTATTTAAAATGAATTCTTACAAATTTTGATGTAGAATTATTTAAAAATATATAACATACCGTTACAATAAATCTATCGATATTAATTTACATAAAAGTCTGTACTGATTCTTATCGTCTTTCTTTACAATTCATTGTTACTCTTTATAATAAAACCGTTTATCTACTTTGAGTGACACTACATCAAATAGAAACTTTTTAATTTATCTGCGCATGAAAACTTATGAGCGCATCATTAAATTAAAGTTTATGAATTAATAATAGTGAATGCCGTTGATATTTAATTTACCTACTTATTGCCTTTGGAGTTTATGAGATGTTAAAAATTTCACGATCGTTGATGAAAATCTTCTCACCATTCATAAATAAATTTTAAGGATAATTAGATACTTAAAAAGTTCGACCGTGTAGTCGATAAACTTATTAAAGCAAATTGCACTATCTATTTTCAACGATTTCATCTGAGCTGATGATTAACTTACGTCAACGAAAAGAGTCAACGTATATCAGTATCGAACGAATGATATTTGATTCTTAAAGTGTACACAATTAGTAAAAATCTACATTTCAATCGTTATTTCGTGTGCGGGTATGTGTTTACGTGCGTGCGTGTACGTGTTTGGCAAGATTATTCATCATTCTTGTCATAATTTATAATTATATAATAAGTAATGCTTAAAGCCGTTGGTGTACGACTACTGCTGCGGATGTGGTTTCGGATGTGAGTCGCTAAGCCATTGCAGTCACCGCCGTTCGTTCGCCGCTGCTTCTCATCCAGTTTCCGCTCCTCTCTCCTCCTCCCAACCCCCCCCGCCGCAGTCACCGCCGCCGCCGTATATCTCTTTCTAAAACCCTGTGCATCCTCCGCGCGCCAGTTAGCGCGTTATACCCATGAGTCGCCGGCTGATACCGCCGTCGAGTTTGGAGGTACGTTGACGGTCGATGCCGGCGTTTCCTGGCCGACGCCGTCGTTGAGCCATTGCGAACCAGCTGCCGCCGTGACGCCCTGGGGCGCCACTCCGCCCTGACCACCCTGGCCCACCCCAAGCTCGTACTGACGTTTCTTTTTCTTCTCCAAGTTAACTTGCGCGTAGAGCGGCTCACCGGGTTTCGGCTGCTACAACACACACAAGTCAACAGCTTTGTTAATCTTACAGTAGTTTACTAGTGCATCTAGCGTTAATGATCATACGACCTCCTTTTGCTAATTTTCATATATTTGTCTATGTTTCTTCGACCATGACCACTATTCGTAATCAGTTCAATTGTCATTTATCGGTCATCTTTTAATTGCTAAGCTTTCAATGCAGAAGAGTTGCATCGATTGATCATTCACTTGAGCAAACATTGTATATGGGCGTCATCACATTGTCTCCAAATAAATGACAAAAGTATACGTTAAATCCATCATAAATATTGTTTACGTAGTGCTAATAAAAACAAATATCTTTCATACGGAACAATAGTCTTGTTGTATCAAGTTTAATTGAATAAAAGCGATTCCGATAAAAATTATGTGATTGAAATCGTTATTCATCTTCAATTCTCTCTCTCTCTCTCTCTCTCTCTCTCTCTCTCTATTCTCTTTATTTTGCTTTTACTTTTACTTTTTCTCTTTGATTTTTTTAATAAGACATTTTTAATACATTTGTAGATACAGCGACGGAAGAGGGAGGAGTGGGATGCAGCAGGGCTTTTCAAGCAGCTTTTTTCAGATTTTTTGAAAATCAACTCGCCTGACCATTAGATTAAAAAAATTTCTTAAAATTGTAGTCATTTTAAATATGTAATAAAAATGAAAACAAAAAAGACAAAATGCAAAAGTAAAGGCAAAAAGAAAAATCAACCATGAATATCATGATAAACAAGACGTTATATTGGGTGATAATTTTTTCTTTATTTACTAAATACTTAATGTTTTCAATGTACAATTACATCACACAACTCGTATTTATGCGCCTCGGAAATAAAATTACCGGAACAAATTTGTCGTAGATTTTATTAATGAATCATCGCCGATTTGAAGTTTACAAAAAATTCAAGTTGTTTAAGTGAGCAAATCGAATATACAGTCATTGTATTTAATTCTGATTTCTGCTAAAATTTCGCACAGTTGAAAAAAAAAAAAAAACCTTATTCATCTACATTTACGTATAATTTAAAAATGTTATCGATCAGTTTAAATTCGTTTAAAAATCACTTACAAATTTTTTTTTTTTTTTTTTCTAAAGTCGCATAAATTGGTTTGTTTACATTTTTCATTTTGCACATTGATGCATTTAAAATGAAAGTTTTTAACTTGTTTTTTAATGTAGTAAATATTGCATTACAGTTATTCAAAGAAAATGTAAGGTTGCACAAATAATTTTTATCGTAATAAAAAGATCTTTCTACTTAATAATAATAATAATCGAGAAAGAAGTATTTAAAATAAGAAAATCCGTAGTCACATAAAGAAATAGATTTATTAAATTATTGAAATATTATATAGGAATATTGTAAATAACACTTCTCAATAGGCTGATGATTCTTTTTTTTTTTTTGCGCAAATATGTAATCATACATATCTACCCTTAATACTTTATATTTATCGAAGTTCTGTTAACAAGTAATTTTATTTTTAAATAAAAGTATTCTATGTTATAAAAAAATTATAAATGCACACCTTATGAGAGTTGATTGGTATTCGAAATGTGATAAACATAAAGATATAAATAAATTAAATAAATAAATACAGTACTAAACATAGTCCTTGCTCAGTCAACATTAGACAGCCTATCATTATATACATATATATATATATATATATATATATATATATATAATGGTATTTTTTTTCTTTTTAATTCAACATCAATATGTGGTATGAATAATTTGTTATAAATTCTATTTATTCGTGTAACTATTTTAATAATGATATTTAATATATATATATATATATATATATATATATATATATATATATTATAACTATGCAGTCTCCAAGCAGAGGCAAAATTGTAATAAAATGCGCACTTGCACATAATAATACTGTAAGCCTCTAATTAAGGCTATGTTTAGTGTATTAAATACATTGTAAATGTTACCTCATAACAAACTCGACAAATAAAAGTATCGCAGGGAACATTGGTTAGAGAATTTCTAAAGAACCGAAGAAGAAGAGAAAATAGCAAAGAAAGAGAGGTGGAGAGGGGGTGGGGGAGAAAAGAAAAAGAGAACGATAGTTACCTAAAAAGAAACAATAGTGTATGACTTTAAGACCGAAGTTTAGTGGTCTTAAAATGTAGTATTATGTTACTTATGCAAAATATATTACAATTATTTTGCATATTAAATTGAATTGGCACATTTATGTTTCATTTTCTTTATTTCCATATAAGCGTGACGATTGCGAAGGCGAATTGAGTTATTAGTAAGTGCATCACTTTCTCTCCTTCTATAGTTATGATCATGGCATTACAAGTACAAAATGAGATTATACAAAATTATTATATTCCATTTGCGAGTTATATCGTATGTTGGCTGTCTTCTGGAAATTTAGGCTCGATTTTAATTATACAAAGGCCGAAACCATATTTGGAGAGTAGAATTGCTAGAATGTTATTTTTAGAATAAACATTACTACGAAATAAAATATGTAATAATTATTATTATATCAAAGTCATCATCTTTATAGTGAATCTCAGTACAATGTTACATGGCACTAATTTCTTCTTCTTTTTTTGTTTTCATACAGAAAATCGCAGTTTCACATAAACTCAGGCCGGTATAATATGTACATTATATGTTAAGTAGTGAAAATTAATTTTTATAAATTTAAAAATAAAACAATGTGCGAGCTATTGACGTAGATCGGAATATGTTTCCCTTTATTAATTTTCCTTGTATTTTTTAATGTTTTCTTTCCGTTTTCCCACTTTCGCACTTAAAACAAATTTCATGAGCCTATCGCAACAGCAAAAAAAAAAAAAAAAAAAAAAAAAAAAAAAAAAAACAATCAAACAAACATATATGTATACACATATATCAGAGATGAGATAGAAAAATATCTTATCCTTTTATTTCTCGTCTTTTCCTCGTCGCGTCTCTTATGTCAGAAAGAAATTCTAACGTCTGAAAAAATATATGAAAAAATCCAAACGCACGAACTTGGCAAAATAAATCCTAAATCAATACCTAATTAGAATTTAAATTACGTATAATTATTTATTCCGAGCTGTTCAAATTGATTAAAAAAAATCTAGTTTATCATCGTCATTATTTAAGGTCTAAATAATCAATAGCGTTAATTATTAAAATGATTAGATAATTTATCATTACTTAGATCGTTCCTAAGAGCATTAATTATTTTCATTATTCGGCAAAATGATATTCTTATAAATTTATTCTCTCAAACATATTGCGAATTTCATAATTTACTCGACAGTTATAAGCTTTCCTTCATTATCGAATGCCACAAATGGTGAAAGAATCTTGAGATCTCGGTATTGAGTATACCATTATGTAATTATGGGCAACGGCTATTATATAAATTGAAAAACGTACGTGTTGCCGCCTAGCCAATGATATTAATGATATTGGTAATATTGCGTTGCTTCAAGATGCGCTGCACAATTGAAGTGTCATCTCTTCAACATATTTGTAAAACTGTAGACTTTTGCTGATTAGCTCAGGACATTGTTCATGATTGAATTTGATTCGGTATAGCCATTAATGTAAGGATTTAATTAAACCAGAAATTATTAATAAATTGTATATTATATTTATTCTCTTATAAAATAGAAGTCGAACAAATACTTTGACGAAATTTAAAATGCTATTCGTATAAAATTCTAATTTTAATCATTACTTGCCTAATTGGTGAAAATAGCAACAACAACAACAACAACAACAACAACAACAAAAACAAAATAAAAAAAGCGCGTATTTATAATTTATTGAAAAACAATAATTCTTATTGTAGTTACCTGAAAAATTAAGCAAAAACTTACACCTACAATCCATTTTAGAATATCATAATCGCAATTGAATCTTCATTTTTTTCAATAATAAAATAAAATTTTTGTAAATAAAAAATGTTTAATTGATTGCAAGTTCAGGGCTTAAATCGACTTAAAAATATTGGTGTTTGGTCAATCCACTAATCACTTAACTCTACTTATAATTAATCTGCTTTTTTGTTTTTTTGTTTTATTCGTATGAATTTATTTATTCCTCGAGTCTTCGATTAAAAAAGTTACGATATAAACCATAACTTTTAACATTCATAAAAAATTGTTTTTATGGGTAAATAAAATTTTTTCAAGTACAAAGACGAGCAATGCTGATTAGTAAATTTCATATTATTTGTAAATTGTATTGAAGTGTTCATAAAAACTTAATAGCTTACGTTTTGTTTTTGTTTTTTTTTTTGTTTTGTTTTTGTTTTAGAAATACGCTAATTTGTTGTTAATACCATTACAAAATTTCTGTATAAAAAGTTAACATACGTTAATTTGAAAAATTTTATGAAAAAACGTAGTACATTTAATCGGAAATTTTAACGATAAGTTTGTAAATTTCGATTAAACCTAACTGTAAGCTCTTTATCAAATAGTTACAGGTATATACTTTAATTGACTTAATTTATACACTGTTTCTGGTGGTACAGTGTACGCAAAGTACACTAGTCGTCATATATTTGATTTTTCGTATCTCACGTTAATAAGAATGATAATGGTACATTATGTGTATATCATGCACGAAGTATATTAAGTAAGTGCGATTAAAATGTGACAATTATATATAATACATACAACTACTACTTTCTCATGGTTGTACGATATATATGCATATATATATATATATATATATATATATATATCTTTATACAATACAAAAATTTGCATAACTTTTTAAATCAATAACATAGAAATAAGTAAATTAGATATTTATTTCATTATGCAGGGAACGTTTTAATTCTATATATTGATTATTAATATGAATTTATAAATCTCAATATATTATATCTGTGAAGTTTTACTTATTATTATTATCTGCAAGCAGTCTCTTAGAATATAGAATTATAAGCTCCCTTAATATGTTATCGCGATAAAAAAAAGAAAAACAAAACAAAAACAAAAAAAACAAAAACAAAACAAAACAAAGTATATATAAGTATGTAGAGAATCAAAGGAGACGTTCCAAAAGTAAGCATAAGTATAACGAAATTACAGTGGTTAGTTGCAGCTTCTATCGCTAAATCATTAATGAGATTAACAGGTAGACTAGGGTAATTTATATAGATGAACATTAGTTAGATAAGGTATTAAGTATAAATTTCTTGATAGTCATGATATATTTATATAAATTTTTAATTCCTAATATTTTGCAAATAATATTGACACTAGTTTTATTGTAAGTTATGCAATAACAACTATGTTCAAATTTAAATGTAGAATCCCGTAGATGTCCGGTTTTGCTGAAATAATGATACAAGATATTAACAATAAATAGATAAGAAAAAGAAAATTTTATCTACCACCTATTTACTGAATTGGATAGAATACGTACGAAGTTCAATAAACGTTTACATATGTAATGGATGCAACGATACGTTACTCTTAATGATTAATATACACGTATGGAGAAAGTAAAATATATTATAATGCATCATTTTATTAATTGAATAGTCGAGATAATTACATGTTCGTTAATAAATGATGAATACCGTAAAGAATAAAAAAAGAAGAAAAACAAACAAACAACTAATTAAAATAAAATAATTGCACTACAATAACAATGTGATGGTTGCGTATAACTATCAATATAACATTTCAAAAATATAGGAAAGAAAATTGCAATTACCAATACAATCACAGACTTAATGCTGTGACGATAGGTAAGCCCTATTTTTCGAATGGATAGAAAACTTTTGGAACGCCTGATTTGATCGGTCAAAAGCGTTGTGTCAGAAGGACCTAAGTGACTAAAAAGCAAAAATAAAAGTACCCTCTCCTCCATATGATTAAACAATATGAAATACTTAATTAATATTTACTTAATACGAACGAACAATGATATCTTAATGAAGTTTGGGCCAAAAGTCGACGAAATTGACGGTGCCCTATAAAGTATCGAGTGAGAAGGCTGAAATATCTGATGACTGAATATTTTCTTAATATATCAACTAAATAGTAATGGAAGTCAAAGTAGAAGATATTTGCCTAATTTAGGAGTTGTATGAGAATTTTTTTTGTTTAAAACAGAGTCTTTTTGAATTACGAGAAGAGAAATTAATAGAATTTTATGAACTGCATGCATAAGCAATTCTATTACTAACACGTCTGTATTTCGTATTATCATTATTATTATTGTTATTATCGTTATTATTATTATTATTTTTTTCTTCATAATTTGTCAATTTACTTGTAATTATACATTTAGTTTTTCCAGAAGCTATCTAACTGTATTTAACGTTTTACATCTACACCTCTCGCTCATCTAATTATGATTTAAAGTAATTGAAAAATAAAATTTCATGTATAATAATAATAGCTGTTACGACTCTCATTTCTTTGTGATAATTCAATTCGTTCAATAAACTTCTCATTATCTTTCTTTTGTTTTAGCACGCCACCAAAAGCTCTACCATTATCCGCTTACGACTCATTATCATTATTTGCGCCTAAATTACCTAATATCCACTTTAGTGCTAAGTTGACTCCGCGCATTTTATAGTCTAATGACTTACTGAATTCGTAGGAAACACGCATACGCCACCAGCAGGTACTGCGTGAGTTCCTTGTTTTGGATACTGCATATCCGACATAGCGATCTCCTCGTTTTGCTGTCGAACACAATTTTAAATTTCTTACATAATAAACTGAATAAAACAAAAATCTTTATTTTGTCTTCAAGTCAAGGAATTATCATTGGAGCTGTTGTTCATTTGAAACATTGAAATTTTCTAGTACAAACAGTATTGTTAATGGATTTTAAAGAAAAGCTTCGTGGCTAGGCGAGTTAACGTTCATTATTTTATTTATTACGTCTGAGACTGCTTCCCGTGCCATCAATCAAGGAAGTGGTAGCGTTATTATTATTTTTTTTTTTTTTTTTTTACAAGTTAAAGTCGTCTTGCGTCTCGTCACTTACCGATTGATAGATGTTAGATCGTCCGACATTATTAGAGTTAAGGGTACCCCTTTGGATCGTTCTGTCTTCGTATCTTGTGCTACCTTGACTCGCCATCGGCCGGTTCAACGTGCTAAAATCATAACTGTTTTAATATAGTATCGAGTCATTTGCATTAGAGATGGGACTCTACGTGTTATTATGATACATAAAACGCGCGATACGAAGAATTAAAAATATATATCGTTATAAAAGCGTAGAGTCCCAAAAAATAAAAAATAAAAAACGATTTGGAAATAAATTTGAACTAAAATTGCTGCAATTTTCATTGATAAGAAAATTGAATGGCCAAGGTTTCCGTTAAAAGCACACGTGGATTATCATTAAATGTACCTATTTGCGTTATTGGGAGAATTTGGACCAGAATTCCTAGCTGCTACCGTTTTCGTTACAAAGTCTTGTTCCTTCCATCCGTGCTTTTTATACACATCTCTCAGCTCTTGATGTTGCCACATTGTAAATAAAACTTGACCTAATAAGAATATTATATTTATTCGCTGCACAGCCGACAATAACAGAATACGTCGACAAATTTTTTTTTTTTTTGGATATTAATTATTACCTGCAAATTTGAGAACCCGTGGTGTATATTTCTGTCTCTGTCTCGTTATATTCATGAGCCTCTCGACACCTCCTGCATCCAATAGGGACCTCGAAAATTCAGCATTCTTTTTAATGACTTCGTTCAAGGTCGCTAGAACAGCTGCGATCGTATCATCGCTGGTCCCTTGATCGTGCTGATTATTTCCTGATGGTAATTTTTGAATGAGATCTCTCATCGCATACTTTCCAATGAGTTCTTTATTGCGCTGATCAATTGCCAAATTTCGAAGAGCTGTAGCTACTGCGCATACGACTCTATCGACCTGTGATAACGATTAAATGCAAATTAATTCCATGTTGAGTTTTAAGGAAATATTTAGACAAATGTAAAAGTTTCGCTATGTTGATTCGCGTTAATATACAGATTTTTTTTATAATACAACAACAACAACAACAACAACAACAACGAATAAATAAATAAAGTGTTAATTTAACTTTAACTATGTAAAGATAAAAAAAAAAAAAAAAAAAAAAAAATATATATATATATGTATATATAAATTGATTGGAACGACACGAATAGTAAACGGAATTTATTAAAATTATATAAATAATATTGTATAAATAATTTGATATACCAACCTCCATCCTTAACAATTCCACTAGAATGGGAAGACCCTTCTCTTTCCTCACAGCGGCTCGAATTTCGATACTTGGCTGCCAATAGCAAGCAGCCAAATTCTGTAAAGCTCCGGCAGCAGCTTCGAGGGTTTCCGGATTTGAACAATTATGTAAAAGACTTAAATACGATTGAACTACTTCTGGTTGCCAAAGCAATTCCATTCCCTTTACGGGTTCTGTTCGTGGACTAGTCGTCCTAGTCATACTCGTTTCCTTCTGCACTGGCTGACCATCCTTTTTTTTCTTACTTCCTCCAAAGCATCCCAAATTCTCGCCTAGGGCAAAACCATTCAGGACTGTCATTTGTAAAAATGTTTCTTTAATTAGCCCTTCAGGAGAATAATATATTATAAAACAGATCTGGCTTTGTGAGGTAACATTCCCTTAGGATATGAAATTAAATATTTATTGAATATAAATCATCGAACGAGAAATTGATGATACAGCATTATTACAAACAACATCAAAAATTGAACACAATTTTCAATAAATTTATATTAAATTAATATCAAATTTACTTCCAAGTGTAGGATAAGAAAAAAAAAAAAAAAAAAAAAAAATTAATTATCAATGGATCATATTTCAATTATTAGAATAAAATAGTTAGTATGCAATTATTTTAAAACATAGCATTTTCATAATATTGAGCGAATAGGAAACTTTTTGTAGATTTTTAATTTATTCCGATATAATGAATTTCTAATTTTAAAGAAAGCTCGTTTTGGATAGGCTGTGCGAGTGTTGCGTGCGCGTGCACGCGTGCGTCTGTGTAGGCTAAGAAGCAAGCAGCATGTGAAAAAATACACTATTACTAGTAGAAGCTGCGAATTAGTTTAACTTATGCGCTTCTGGTGTTGAAGGTGCCGTAGAAATTAATTGAATTTTCTAAGGAAAACATAACCACAATTTTTCTGTATATACAATGCATTTTAAAATAATGGAAATAATGCTAGAAGGATGTATTGAATGAAGTTCATGCTTTGATTAAAAAAATTCATTTGTTTAACTGCGACTGATGTCTTACCTTGACACAGACTGTATGCTAAAAAGATTGAAACAGAATGTAATCTATACTAATGATTTATTTACACGATCGAAAGCTACTTGTTAATTAATTTGTGAAAATACGAAATAATCGTCAAGTGTTTACAATGGATAAATAAAGTACTGACGGATTTATAAAATTAGTATGCACACCTACGTGTAATCTAAATTGCAAGAGACAAAATAAAAAAAAAATTAAGAAATTAAAAAATTAAAAAAGTAATAAATATAAATAAAATTGAAGGTCAAGGTTGAATTGTCTACAATAACGGGGAAGAAAATGCCTCGAAAAGTGATGAATAAAAAAATAGAGGAATTAAAGGGGTGGTAGGTCGTGGCTTACCTTTAGTGGGTGCCGCTACCCTATTCTGAACGTTTGACTGAATCGGATGTTTATCGTAATTCGGATCCTCGACTTCTTGACAGCGGTAGCTTAGGTTCCTGAGTATGCATACGCAATTCTCAACGATCTTGTTACCAATGTTGGACTTTTCGATCGCCGAGCGGACTACGTAGAGCAGGGCATCGACGAGGCCCTCGCACTCGCGCAACTTCTTCCTCGCGTATTCACCGGCGCTCGAGACGTTTCGCAGGACGCCCGATGCGTTCCTGAAGACTGTCGACCAGCAGGTCTCGCCGCTCGATGAGCTCGGATCCCAGCCGCTGTGTGGAATAATGATGTTGATCACGACGATCGTCACGCCGTCGTCGATGATGGACTTCTTCAGGTCCTAAACGAACACGTCAAAGCCATATTGTAGAGACGAAAAGAGAAGGGGGCGAAGGGAAAAGCGTGGAGGGCGGACGGTCTCACCTCGCAGGAGGACAGGTTCCAAAGTACACCGGTGACGAGCTCCTTTACGTCCGCGTCCGATGTTCTACGCAAAAGATTTATGAGGGCTGGCACACCACCAGCGTTCTTTATGGCCCGTTTGTTTTCGTCGTTTTGACGACCGTAGGAGAGGTTCCTTAGAGCGCCGCAGGCGTTTCTATATACGTCCGGGCTGTCAGAGTCCAGGAGTTGAACGAGCGGCGGTATGCCTCCGAGGCTACGCGTCTTCTGTTTATTAGGATCGTCCATGTAGCATAGGTGCTGCAGATACGCCGCAGCATTCGCTTTGATGATGTTGTTCGGGTTGCTCAGGAAGCTTATGACCTCGGGAAGGTTGGGATCGCGCCATCGCATCGACTTCTGATCGTCATCGAGGGGGCTGACCATACCCGGTACCAGGGAGTGATGGGCCTTTAGTCGCTGTAGGTGTACCTCGTCCTCGTACAAGCCCGGGCCGACGATACTGGCGTTGGGAATTGCACCCACGGGGATGTGCCCGACGACACCGTCCTCGTAGCCAGGAACATCTCCAGTCACTCCAACGCCAACGCCCACTGGCGGTCCATAGCGCACATGACCGTACGGCGAGGGCGACACGTATCCGTACGCAACTTTACCCTCGTCTGTAACAATGTAAATCCACATATTATAATGATCCTTTATTGAATCCTCCTCGTGTTTCAGAGTCTATCTTTTGTCAATCGATCGATAAGATTCGAAGGCCACCGAGCAAAAGAGACTTTGGCTCGAAGTGGACGAGGAGAGGATGAATGTCACAGACATTATGCGGGTGTACTCACCGTGTGGATGCTGTGAAGGCTCGCCCGAATCGTCCATGTTCCACGGATTGCTAATTTGATCTGAAAGAGTAGGAAAAACTAAGGATGATAATTGCATGCTAATTGCTCTGCGAGCAATGGCGTATATTGACTATAAGGGCAATAAGTGATATATATATATACTAGCGAAAACTATACCATATTGATCTCCGGGGCCGCCAGGACTCGGAGTGATACGATAATGATCTTGCAAAGCGGAATTCAAGCCTGGATCTATATCATTGTAACCCCCCTCGACGAATGGCGCTCCTTTTCCCAAATATTCTAAGAAAAAAAATACTTAGTAAAAATCGGGCTATTTCTCTCTCTCTCTCTCTCTCTCTCTCTCTCTCTCTCTATCTCTATCTCCTTCTTTCATAATAATGGGTGAACTAGAAAAATACTCGACTCATCGGTCTTGGTTGATCAAAGTGATCTACATTTGAGTGCAGGATGCTACTTGTTGTAAATGCGAATAAAAGCACAATGCGCAATGCTTGAGCGATATTAATGATTTTGTATGAAAGCCGCGCAAATGAATATATGAGGCAAGATTGAAAGAAAAAACTTTTTGGGAGAAAAATATTTGCTTTAAATAAAAGTATTTACAAATAGATATGTGCAAATAATAAATCAAATGCAAATTTAGCGTGAATTAAATAAATAATAGCTTTCAAAATACTTTGAGCAAACTCTATTAATTTGTTATACTGTACTTCCGAAATATTGTTTACGAGCAATGGCAGTGCAAATAATTGAACGCAATATTGGATGTTTTAATTGCAAAATAATTAAATTAGTAAAAATTAAATCAATTTAATTATCAGTAATTTCTTTAGTGACGTAAAAAGATATTTAATATTGATGTTTCGTATTTGTCTTAGGTAAACAACAAAATTGTTTCATACCCTAAGATTCATGAATTTTTATAAAAATTGAAAGAACTTTTGTGCAGTTAGATTTTTCATATACTTTGTCTAATTTTAATAAGAATATTATGTATTCCGTATATCTATTATTCATTTTTTGTTTTTTTATACATATATATTTTCTTATATACTTTAATAAACTTCAATAAACAACGTTAAACATGTTAAAGTGGAATTTACAGGCATTATATTGAATTTTTAATTGAAAAAAAACTGATTTTTTCTTTCTCCAGAGTAAGTTGTTAAAATAAAAATGATAGAGAAATTAAGCACATTCAGCTGTTTATCGAAGGCTTATTAAATTGAGAGATTACGATATACAGAATGGAAAATATCGGAAGCTTACGGTAAAAGACTTTTGAACGTTCAATGAATCTTTTGATGTAAATTAGCGATACTGAATTAACAATAATTCTCATATTATCATAAGCATAATTACGAATATAATGAATAAAGCTTATTTAAGCGAATTATCAAATGAGGATTGCATAAAAATTCATGAGCCGTAGGTGCACGTTTAGTTTTATTTATCAGCAAGTAAATCAAATTGAAATAACTAGATAAATAATAAAAGAGTAAATTAAGTAAATGAGAAAATAAACAATAAAATAAAAGGAAAAGAAGCGAAATAACGTACCATGTGCGGGAGAAGCGCGACTGTGCTCAGAGGGACTATGGGGGCTATGGGGAGAATGTGGACGAGGCATGTAGATACCGTGAGGGCCTGCATATCCAGGCTGTGGAGGACATCCCATGTATGGATCGAAATGGTCGAAATTAACCATGTAGGGATCGGCTGCATACCGCGGATCTGCGTGCTGGTAATCCTGTGTCATCAAGGGCATGGACACATAGTTCACGGTTCCAGGATCGGGCTCCATGTGTGCGACCTCCCGGACGACTTTCGTCACCGTCGTCACCTACAACCACGCCGCGTTGTTACAAATTACAATGACAAATATAATTCACAAGCTAATATCCGTCTAATAATCTCTTACATTAGGGTGCGATAATTTCACGTTTTAGCTCCTACAATCGAGCTGCTACGTTAAAATTTTGAAGCTCCCCGAGCTTCAATTGTTACACGAATGGCACAATGGGCGCCGGGAAGCTCCCCGTGCTCGTCAAACTCCCCGAGCTTCAATTGTTACACGAATGGCACAATGGGCGCCGCCGAATGCCCACGCCGAAAAATCAATAATTACATAAACTTTCACTTTCGTGTAATAACGTGTAATTAACGAAGCTTAAGGTAAATGTAGAGAATCGGGTGCAATATATCGTGCTTCGTTAATTGGTAATGGGGTAAGAAGTGATTGTGAAGGGAGGAGGATATCGGATGAAAAGAGCACGCGACAAAGTCAGATTCGATCTACGAATACGTAATTCTTGCGAGTTTCGCCGATCGTCGTACTTTTTCTGTCTGCATGATTGCATTGGACTTGATTGTGTTTGGTCGCGCAACTCGCGGTATGTGATTTGAACATTTTTTCGTATCGGTCTGCTCAAAAGCATTTTTACGAGAAACGTACTTGTTGGGAGGTTTGCTGCTTATGTGTTCGTAGGAGCAAGGGATCATCCTGCACCGATAGATGAGAAGAATGTAGAGAATGTGTGTCTGCTTGGCCGTTGCTCCCATGATAATCGGTGTCACCTTGTCCACTGCAGATACCAAAGAAATAAACTTTTCTTTATTCTCTTTTTATCATACGGCAAAACAATTTTTATATAAATTGTTCTTTCGAGCATAAGGTAAGGATAGAGATACTCACGTGTACTGTGGCATGTCGGAGCCTTTGTCTTGAAGAACGCGTCTAGGGAGTAACAAAAAAAAAAAAACAGACTCGTTAGATTTTCTCATTGAAAACTGCGTACACTCACGCGCGCACACACATGTAATCCTTTTTAGAAAATTGCACACACAGTAATTACGAATTGCATTTGCATAGCATCGAATTTATCGTTTGCATTATGAATGCTAACATTTAGTAATACTGAGTTGATGAAGCAATTAAGTACGCGCAATCGACGCTGAGAAATAAGTGTTTATCGGCGTGGAAGAAAGGAAAAAGGGTTAGTAGCCCTGAAGTCTGAAAGAGGAAGTGAATTGTCGTAATAATTAAAATCTACTATCTAAATATTCAGTTAATGCAATAATACAAAGATTGTTTGGATACAATGTCGTTTCGACGAGTAATTACGAAAAATCTTGAGTGTACATGCTGCTCGGAAAGGCAAAGCTGCGAAATTTTAAAAAAGATGTCCATGCATGTAGAAGAGAATTAAGATTGGTTGGCTGATTGATATCTCAGACTTTTTCTTAAAATTGAAAAATTTATTCGAATGTAGCTACTCGTAAACCCTATATTATACCAATGCTGCGAAAGTATAAGTAAGCGCTGTTAGTATAGGTATGCACTTAATGAGACTTATGCCATCTTCAATCGGTCCTATTTAACAATAAGAATTATCGAATATTCCCTTGTACGTGTATTAAGACTAAAGACTTGTTCAATTAATGGGAATAAAGTATTTTTACTCAATTTGGACTTTTTCGCGATATTAATCATATTTGGTATTTTTACCTACGGACAAATTTTCTTTATCTAATTAATTAAAGGTTAATTGAATCGGTAATAAGCAATTTTTCCAATAGAGGAAGAGAGACGTTTTAACGTATATTTTTTTTATTAATTGTCAAATTTCTTTAAAACAGGCAAAATTAATTTAAAATACAACTTGATCTAAAACAATAATGTTAAATAGATTTAAATTTAATTGATAAAATAATACGCATCTTAAATTTTCCATTGAAGCACTTTGACAACTAATTTTATTAAGATACAATTTAACACGACAGTTTGATAGCGAAAATAGATATGTTAATAATAGTAGAAAATTTACGTACGTGCAATGATAATAAGATAATAAAATTAATAAGCTTTTACTTTAATTGCAATTATCGTATGCGAATAGTTCGACAACTGATAGACGACTGACAAATGATTTTTACTTACAAACTTGAACAAAGTTTCTATTTCAATTTTATTACTCACAATTGATTCTATATGGCGCGTGTACGTGTAAAGACATTAATGAGCAATAAAATTTAAATAGAAGACTAGATAAGAAAAGAGATTTATATCGAGTCGTCGTTTCATATATATATATATATATATATACGCACACAAACACACACACATACACACAAATACACACACACACACACACACACACACACACAGAGACAGACAGACAGACAGAAACGCACGCAAGCGCACACAAACGCACACGGACAGAAACGCAGATAAACACAGAAGAAACAGAAACGCACACGCGCGCACAAAGCGCACCGTACGTAAGTAAGGCAAGTGACTTTTTACTTTTGCAATTTACGTATGACACATTCAAGTTTAACTTAAGCTTTATAAATACTAGAAAACTATAAGTAATCATCGTTTATTTAGTTCATTTATTTGACTGAAACAATAGTTGTTTTTGTTGTAAAACCAATCCAATCCCACCATTGTCTTTCTCTTGCCACTTTCTATCAACGACTGGTATTGTATGCCATTACAGGAATCAGAAAAATCCCTTCATTAGCCATTGATCATAATTAGCCTCTCATGCTTTTAATAGTTCGCACTATGTGTATTTATGACATTTTCTATGAACGGTTGGAAATTAAAATTCATTGTAATTGCTTCATAAGCATTTGGAAGGAAAATATCAAATCAAGAGACCGAATTAAGGCAATTTTTATCAAAATGATATATATCAGATTTATTCATAATTATATTTAATGCCCAGCAATATATTTAATGCCAACTGCACATTGAAGTATCCATTAATGAAACTACATTCAAAGCCCCAAGGAAAAAAGTTTACTCTCGTCCTCGTGATCTTGCCAAAAAAGCATCACTTTACATAAGCAAATGTATTTCTGTTAATAATTTACGCTTGTTAGTATAATTGACGGGAGTATTCGATAATGTATAAAGCAATAATGTAAAGCATGCACTAGTAATACAAAGCTCCTCGTTAAATGCGGGTTAGTCACCTCTGTGTGATTTCAGTGCGAGTAATGTTGTGCTCCTGTCTCTGCTCAATCCTCCGATTCACCAAGCTAATTCCAATAATTTAATCTCGTTATTAAACATCAAATTCTTTATTATAAAAAATACTTAATCATGGCAACGGGCAATCCAACTGGCTTCATTGTTTAACTCGGGCGTTACTCGGTGTACGTCCAATTTCATTATCACGTCGCCTCTTTTTGTTAGTACAAAATCGACAGATATCATTATTTTGTTATTATCGGGGAAGGTAGCCCGAGCGAAAAGCCGTTACGTATGCAAGGCAAATATCCGCGATGTCGAGTGATTAGTCTAGAAAATCCACTCTCGCGAAGCGGAATCACGGTGAGGGAAAAAGAGGGGGTGCGGTTGCCGAGCGATGGGTTGGCGAGTGGGTGGGTGGGTGGGGCGGGGTGTAGAGTGGGAAGAGGGCGAACTTAAATGCACCAAAACAAATGAAACCCGCACAAAGTTCAACAAGTCCAGTTAGCGAAGTGACATCAACATCAAACTTGAGCAGACCCGTCCAACGCCGACAAGACTTATACAACCCCGGCGGCTGGGAAACGACAACAAGTTGTGAAAGCTGGACCGCAGCTAAATACGATCACCGTGATGACGTCGTACTCTGTATATACTAACTCGAGACTACTCAAGTATGACGTGGACAAAATGTTGAGCCTCGATTTCGTCGTCGGTAAGAAATTATTAATGAACATATCCATTATAGTGATAATAGAGTCGGAGGAGGAGGAGGAGGAGGAGGAGGAGGCGAGGGGGAGGGGGAGGAAGAGGTTAGCAAACAAGACAATAATCAAGGAGTAATACTCACAGACAAGAATCAACCAGCTGATTGCTTGACATGCCAGCAATTCTTCAGCGCCGCTTTTATATACAACAGCTTCTTCTGAAACAGAAAATGTTCAGAAATAGTTAGGTAATACTTCGACTTGATGTTGTGCCTTATTTACCATCGACGATAAGAGCCGATATATTCTTTTTTCATGCTAGGCGGCACTCGCAAGCTGGAAAATTAGAAAAAAAACAAGCTCTTTATTACGCGTGGGCTTATGCATTTGATATTTGGTTTCTAGCCGCTGGATATTTATGACAGACATTTACAGCAGCACAACTTTGACGGAATGAGCCAAATTATCGGACCGAAGCTGTTATACTTAATATTCACGATAATGTGGAATCGGAATATAAGAGACGAATCGCGAAATTCAGCTCGAAAAGTTAGTTGCAGTAAATCGACACTCCATTCAATATTGCTTCTGTCGCTCAATTTACACTACTAACTTCCCATCCCATTTTCGAACATTGCATTTCTATAACAAACTTCACACATAATTTTCTCTCTACATTATACCGTGGGTGTCGTAGATTTTATACTCTAGTTGGTACTTGTATTCAATGCGATATAACTAATTAAAAAAAAAAAAAAAAAAAAAAAAAAAAAAAAAAAAAAAAAAACACGATATTGCACTTGTAAACAGTTGCTTGACTCTGCTCAGATTCCATTGTTTCAAAAAATAAAAAATAAAAAACATAAAAAAATTGTAGTAAATAATAACCACCACTTTGGAAATATACACAGTCAACGTCGGTATTTCTTTTTTTAAGTAAAAACTCAAATAGCCAACAATTTCGAAAAAGTTCATTTTTAACTGTCTCATCATCGATTTTTTGCCTATGAAAATTAAAAATTTATTTAACGATAGTTTAATCGATGAAATAACTTTACTTAATAATGATAAACTTTATTTTAAAATACTGATAAATTATTTATAACTCGTTGTTTAAAATTTTAAACCATGTTGCTTCAATCGAATTAATTCACATTATACAAAATGTGATTAATAAATAATATCTTATGTAATTATAGTATTACGCCAAAAATTCCTTTATCAACAAATATTACCTAATGACTCCTCATTACCAAAACTATACCTTATTCCATTTCTGTATTATACCAACAAAAATGCTTTAAATAAAATAAATACAAATAGCTGTAATTTTGTTTAAAAAGTAAACGTTTTGAATTACATCATCATATTTCTGACGAATAGATGTTTTATATCACGAAATAAAATTTGTATACGAAATAATATTCTAGAACGAAGTATAATTGTCCGCCGGAAAAAAAAAAACGTAACAATTAAAATATTCTCGTTACAATTTGAATAATTGATAAAACTTTTACTATCCTTACAACATATTTTTTTCTACCACATACCATTTCTATTGTAAAATGTTGAAATGCATAGTTCTTTTTATGACACGAGCACGCATCATTTTGTACAAAAATTTTTTTTCTCCCGAAGTACAAGAAAACCTGGATGGCTTAGACGATAAGATAAGATAAATAAACTATTAGATATATGTAAGCGCTCAATAATGCTCATAAAGGCAAATAAACACTTATAATATTATCGTATCGCATTGTTCAAGATCTTGTAATTATAAGGAAATGTGTGGTATTATCATTTGGAAAATAGAAGAAAGATCAATACATTTGGTAAAAAAGAATTTTTTTTCTTCTTCTATTTTCCTCTCCTTCGTAAATGTATAGAACAACACGGGTACGAGTATATAATAAGCTAAACAAACATCAGAAACTAACGAGACCTGTTCTCATAAGTTGTTCGATAAGAAAGTGTCATAATATAAAATAAACGAAGATTATTAGGTTATGATAAATTTATTTAAGCTTTATCGTGAAATTTCAAGACAAAAATATTGCAAATGACAAAGTGCCCGCAAGGGCACTCTGTATACCAAGAAACGAAACGACAAAGAGGGTATCGTTCCTTCTGTCACAGTCGCACATGTACCTTACGTTAAGAAGCTCCGAGAGCATAAAAGACTTGTATCATGCTCAACATGTAAAGGTGGTTTGGAATTTTTTTTTTTAGAGATATCCCGGAAACCATACAATCTAATATACATAAATACGTGTATATATATTTGAAGAGAAAGGGAAACAATTCCACGGCTTTACATGCCAAGGAGGCTTTGAAAAATCTTCGATCCATTATTAACAAATTGAAAACAAATTAATACGGGTTTAGTCATCCAACGGGCAACCGTTTTACTTCTTAATATACTCGCTACATAATCTTTAAATGCTCGAAATAAATCAATTTTCTATTTTACTAACATATTAAAGCTCCGTAAGCTTCGTCTTATATAGATTATTTTAACTGCTAGCAGTCAAAACTCACGCGACTCCTAATCCAGCCATTCGAATATATCAAATGACTAATTGCAACGAGATCGAACCATGTTCCTTACTCTTCATCGTCCTCGTTCAATTTAGCCCAAAGATTAAGATTGTAGCTTCTTCTGCGCAACGCCGATTAGCGTCGGCTATAAATGTGGCAGATTAAGCGCGTATCGCCTCCCTCCGTTCAAGATGTCTACGGAATTACGGATTCCTCTGTGTGGACGGAATATTGTGTACAGAGCTTAAAACGCCACTTTAATTATAGCAATTACCAAGAATTTTCGTTCGTCCATAAAATATTCGTTTATTTCAGATTTCAACACACGTCGGACCTTTCGCGCACATTTTTAATAAATATACATTTTTTATTTAACTTTTAAAACTTTAGGCATTTACTCTATGGAGTTTTTTTGGAGTTATGTTGTATCGTGGACTAAAATACACTGAGAAAGTTCTTTCGTATGCGTTCATTGTCAATCTGATTATTTAATCGTTGCTCCCAACAGTTAAATCGCACGAGTTGATGGCAAAAGAAAAAAGGAAAAATTGTTTTCTCACTTTACACATGTAGTTTCGCCAGTGTTATTCAATCATCCAATCAGCTTCACATCACTAGAGAAATAAGTAAAGTTATTTTAATAGATGTCAAAGCAAATTTACAATCTTGTTTCGAGCAGAGTTTCAGGAGAAACTTGTGTAGAGATAGTTTGCGAGTAGGTTATCCTTTGATAAAATGAAATTAGCGCTGCTTAATTTAAAGACATTAGTTAAGAAAATACTTTAACTCCGCTTGTAATTTCCTTAATAAACGTCGAGAAAGTTTTGGTGTATTGGTGCACAGAAAGCCAAATTCTCTCACTCGCACGCGCGCACCAATATATATATATATATATATATATAGGCATATATACTGCTTATGTAACAATGTAAAAAAGAGAAAAGAGAGAAAAAATAAGTGGGAGTGCCGAGGAGGGGATGGGAGATCCGTCAAAGGGGATTTTTATCAAAGTTTTCACATTGACATGTACGTTGTAATGAGGGGCGGATAAATTCTATCTGTTTACGATCGGCCATGTGCGTCAAATCAATTCATGCACGCTCTACTATACGTGCACAATGAATGAAAGAGACAAAAACCCGAGGGCTGATAATAAACAGGAAAAGGAATGAAATTGTGCAGGTGCTGCTTTTACTCGATCGGGAATAACGATACGCGTGACTTGGACCCCTTTAATGCGTAGCCCCGGAAGTACGCTTAAAAAAAATTAACATTATTTTTGAAGTAGAGAAGCGGTAGGCAGGCAGGCGGTACGGGAAATAAAAGTGCGAAAAAGAGATAAAGATCTTCGAAGCGAGACGTTGAAGGAATGCTGGAAAAAGAATGCGCCGTGAAAGGGAGTGTAAGGGCGAGGGGAAGGCCGGTTGGAATTTCAAAACAAGGATTGAAATAATTAGATCGGCCACGTGTAAAGAATTGATTTACATATCGGGGATTGCGAGTACCATGAGGGCAGCTCGAGGAGGCGCGGAAAATATTCTGTTTAACGACGGGAGCGCGAGGGACTCGTCATGCCGGCGCCAGGAATGCGCATGCGCCGACGCTCCCCGTCGAGGCTCGCAATCGACTCCCTTCGTCTCTCGCGCTTTTTGATATTCGTAAATCCGCGCGGGCAGCACCGGGGGAGAGCTCTCCAGGATCCCGCCGCGATGAACGCTAGTCGCGGATAAACGATAAGCCGCGATTAGACGGTGGTGCTTCAGTCGCCCCTTCATCCACGCCAAGTACACTTTTCGCGCAATCGACACCGACAAGAAATACCTATCCATCCAGACTTTCTTCCAGTCCTGCCGATAATCGACGTCCTTTGCCCTCGTGCCCGCAGCCGCTATTGCCGCGTGGCTGGAAGTCTTATCAGCTCGTCGGCGATGAATAGCTCCTCGCCTCCTTGCCTCGCATCTTCTTCTCGGGGCGGCGATCGGCTACGGCACCGGGAAGTAAATCGATGGGGCGGAGTAATGATCGGCGTGGAGAGCAACGTGAAACTCGGGGGACAGGCGTGCGAGGCTCGCCACGGCGGCGTCCTGGAGCGGGCCAAGGCGCAAAAATCAATTGCGAGCTTGCGCCGTGCCGCGCGCACTAAGAATGGAACCGAGTGCGCGGGGATTCTCGTCTCGCCCTCCCCCATTCCCTGCCGCGCCCGCCCCATACCCCACCCCTCGTCGCGCCACGTCATCCTGCCCACCCCGAAACCGGCCCCGCCCACCCCCGCACGCGCGCGCCCGCGCAGACGACAGACGCTCGTCCATCCAGCCTCTTTGATTAATCGGAGCCCCCTCGTCCGCACACGTGCGCGGGACAATCGTCGAGGATTCGTTTCGTGTCCGACGCCTTATGCCGCCTTCCTTTTCCGCGGTATATTAGACAGATCGCCCCGTACTCCTCGTTTAACCAGCTATCGCCTTTAATAGCAGAGCGCACGAGCCCACGGCCCCGTCCGTTGGTCCGCGTGTCTATGGGGCGACAAGGATTTTGTTTTCTTTTTATCTTTTCTTTTCTTCCCCTCCAATACTATCGAGTCGTGATTTTCGCGTAAATTAAGCTAATTGGTGGATGAGCGGGTGGATGGGTGGGAATGGTAGCGGCAGCCACGGCCGCCTTTGCCCTCGGTGGCTGGGTG